TGTTAGCTAGCTATATCGCCCGATAGTAAATAACCCAATTCGAATTGCTAGCTAGGTATATCGGGTAGTATATTGAGTTAGCTAGCTAGATCGCCCGATAGTCGATATTTTTTTTCTCCTTGGGATAGAATTAATATTATCATTTTTAATTTTTAAATTAATGATTGATTCATTTAATGCATTTAATTTTTCAGTTATAAATTTAAGTTGATGTTCCAAATTATCAACTTTTGGTTCTAATATGTTTAACTTTTCAATACTATTTTCACTTTATTAATATTTAAATTATTTAATTCATTCATTATTTTATTTAATTCTTTTTCCTTAAATAGTAATTCATTATTTATTTTAAAATTGAAATTTTTTTTCGATTTATAATTTGTTAAATATTCTTTAATTATTGTTTTTTCAATATCACATTTATCAAGTTTTTCTTTTAATTCTAATGATTTAGATAGAAAAATATCTCATTTTAAATGATAATTTAAAATTTTTAATTCATTTTCATTTAATTTTTTTTTATTCCACTATTTGATTCACAAGTAATTATATTATCATCCTTATAATAATTATATTGCTTATTTTTATAATTAAATTCAAGATAATTTAAATTATCTTTTATTTTAATATTAGCTTAATTTAGTAGATATTTTGAATCTAATCGATCATTTTTTTTATTTCCATTTCCATTTTCAATATGAATTGAAATACATTTTTCTGTATCTAATTGTAAAATTTCTTCATTCATTGTATTAGAAGAATATAAATTATGTTTTTAAGCAGTAATATTCCAAGAAATTCACCTATACATATGTCTTAATTTTTAAAGTAATAAGAAGAAGAAATCTTACCGATTATTCAATTAATTTTGAATGAGAACAAAATTGACAGCAAAGCGGCTCAGACGCTTTCAGAAACACTAAAACAAAATAACACTTTGACTAACGAGGGAACCTTTCCAGGTGTCCGACCGCTTTTCTAGCGAAATGCGGTGGTAGTTTATAGGTAATCAACCATGCTGATTCCGAATATGATAGCTATTTTTGTCCATAGACCTCTCCTAACCGGTTTCTGGAAAAGTGGTTTTCCAGAAACCTCGAAAAATTCCCAAGCGTTTTTCTAAATAAGTCATGACTGTAGCCCGCAAAATTCTAATTAAAATGAGACATCTTCCAGCTCTACACCATCTTTCTTTACAAAGTTATAGAATTTACAAGAAAAGCCCTAAATATTTATTGTCATCTTAGAGTTGCAGAAAGAAGGAAAGATGAATTTAGGGCTTTTCTTATGAATTCTATAACTTTGCGAAGAAAGGTCGTGTAGAGCTGGGAGATGTCTCATTTTAATTAGAATTTCGCGGGCTACAGTCATGCCTTATTTAGAACAATTCTTGGGAGTTTTTCGAGGTTTCTGAAAAACGAGTTTTCCAGAAACCAATTAGGAAAGACCTATGGACAAAAACGGCGAGTGTTCCGGCGTGTAAAACGGCGGGTGTTCCGAATCAGCATGGTTGATTACCTATAAACTATCGCATTTCGTTAGAAAAGCGGTCGGACACCTGGAAAGGTTCCCGCGTAAGTTAAATTTGAGTGAGAACGAAATTAGTGAAAGAAGTCTCTGATCAATATAAAAATATTGCTGTGAAACGAAGACTGAAAGAAATCTATAAACAGTGAACCTATTTCCTGAATCAGATTCATGTCGAGAATTCCAAATGAGTGTAAAAATGATCTCTTTTAATTGTGCTATTGATAATTTCTTATATTTTCTATAATTTAAGCTGCTGAATAGAGAAACTGAACTTTTTTACTGCATGCACTAGCACATATATTGTTGGATTCGTATGGCTGTTGAAAACATCAAATTTTACAATTCTATATTACTTGTAAAATTTAAGGTTTTGAACGTAATACGTACTTCTCGTCCTACAAAGTATACAAAAACATGAAATTCAGTTCTTACCGGATGCCCGAACTGATACATGACCCCCCCCCCCCCCCCACTACTAGATACTGATACAAAGAACAGATTTAATTCTTTAAACTCGTGTTCTAACGGGTGTGGCATAGAAAATGAGACTTTTTTGTTTTTGCTACAACTCGGTCAGTTTTGATCAGAGCGGTTCAAACATTTTTTTAAAAGATGCACTGTGAAATACTCTACAAAATCATACCTAAACTATAATTTCAGAACTTCAATTAAGAAAACTAAGCCAATCAGATGGAAGTCGAACAAATGTAAGCTTTCTAAACTAAAAAGTGAACGTTTTGAAAGTAAGAAACACTGAATTAGCTATTTTGTAGCCCTGACTTTGCTCTATCTTTTACCTACGCTTCAGATTTTTTCACATCAAAAGCCACAGCTAAATAATAATAGTTCTATCGGTTGTCATGCATTTTTTCATTAATTTTTTAATTTGGGTATAGTAGTGCTCTCAGTAAAAGCCCCATAATTCCATCAAAATAAAAGCTTTTTCGGTCAGGTTTGCTTTGTTTTGATCAGAAATGATTGCTCTTCTCTATCTAACTGCTAAATCAAACTTCAATCGTCATTTCCGTTTCTTGATTGAGCATATTGTTGAAAACGGGGAGGTTGTCAACTTTTGACGTATTTTTGTAACTTCCTTCTCGAGCACACCATCCGCTCTAAAAAAGCTTTTTTACAGAGCACGAGAAAGAGTACATTTGAAAGTATCAAACATAAACTTAGTTCTCCGTTTTGCTACACTTTTTAGCGAAAATAGTAGCAGAAGAAAAAGTTCAAGTCAAAAGAAATTTTGAGTTTAGAAAGTTTACCTTTTTTGTCGACTTTCATTTAATTAGCTGAGTTTTCTTGATTGAAGTTCTGAAATTATAGTTTAGGTATGATTTTGTACAGTATTTCGCAGCGCATCTTTTAAAAAAAGTTTGGGGCGATCGGATCAAAACTGACCGAGTTGTAGCAAAAATAAAAAAGTCACATTTTCTCTGCCACACCCACTATTAACACGTTTTGGCAAGGGTGTTCGAACAAGTAGACAAACTCCTTTCTACAAGTCATTAATATTTATCAAAGAACGGATTCCTTGAACTTCCGTTCTGTCGAAAAAAAAACATTCTTTGCGACAGGACGTTCAAACTGGTGAATGAACTTCCCTCCTATTCAGCACTAATATTTATTAAAAAATTGGTTTCTTAAAGTCTTGTTTTGTCAAAAAAGGTCCCCCGTTCTGATGTGGCGCTGGAACGGATATATAAAGTCCTTCTACTAAGTGTAGACGAACATGTATATTGAACTCCTATTCTGTTATAATGTTAGAATGAGTGTCCAAATTCCTCCTAACCATGTATAATTGCTTCAGGAACGCGTCTCGTTCTATAATGCGTCCCGGTCTCGTTCAAAGTGGAATCTAGGCTAGCCCATTTTCGTTCGGAGCGCCAGTTCTCATCATCTTTTGTACTTCATTCTATAATCGGTCCTTCACTGTTGGGAGCGTTTCTTTACAAAAAATTTGTGTGTATGTGTGTGCGGAGGGTTAAAAGTAATTTCTTTTCAAAATCAGAACTTCGCCGTTTGTATTTTAACATAACTAAAATATGTTTTAGGATGAAAAAATGTTACTGAACATGTCCAACACAAGCTGAACAACAACATACGAAGATCAAAAACTGATTGAATGAGAAGGAATATAAACAAAATTCAAGAATAAATGAAAATTTAGGAGATCAATCAAGAGAAAATATAACAGGCCAATATCGTGAAGAAAATTGAAGAGAAAATGAAATTATTAAAAGAGATCTATCCGATGTAACAAAGCTTGATCAAGTATTAAAAACAAAAGTTGATGAATTATCAAAGAAAAAAGGTGATATTCATTATTCAGAAATAATAAATCAATTAACATTTGAAAAACTAACTTTAATGCATGAAATAGAAACTATTCAACGAGAAGAACAATCATTAGAAAGTCAAATAAATAATAAAAATAAAGAAATTCAATTAGAACAAAATAAAATAAATCAATATGAACAAGTTCTACATAAATTACAACAGGAAAATTTGATATCTAAACACAATAAATTATTGGCAACAGATAGACTATTAGATTTAATAACTGTACAACAAGAATTAAGAGATAAACAAAGTGAAATACAATTAAAATATGATATAAATATAAATAATTTGAAAGAATATATGAAATTACAATCTAAAAATGGTGAAGCTTATGATAATATAATAAATTTTTTAAATAGAAATAAAAAACAAAAAGAAATAGCAGATTTAGAAGATCAATTACAGAGAATAAAAAAAATTTAAATAGAAATTCTAATCAAATAATTAAATTTAATAATAATAAATTAAATCTGTTAAATAATGAAATGAATTTAAATGAAGAAATTATACATAAACAAGAAATACAATATCAAATTGAAGAAGAAATGATATATCTTAATGATTATGATAATGATTTAAATATGCCAATTATTAAAAAGAAATATTTCAATAAAATTGAAGAAGAACAAAATATATTTTTACAAGGCAAAAATGAGAAAAAAAATCGAGAAATTTTTATTGATGAAAATAAGAAAAATAAACAAAATTTAAATGATATTCAAATTCAATTACATCAATTATTTGAAAATAATTTTCAAACATATTCTGATCGAAAACAATTAATATTAATTGAAAATGGAATTGATTTAATATTTTTACGTCTATTTGATAAACTTTATTAATCAAATTAATTATCTATTTGATAAACAAATAATGACTTTTAAAGAATCATCGGATAAATTATATGTTATCATAAAATCTTTATACGAAAATAATAATTATCTATTAGATAATACTAATCAAGATTTATTTGAATTAAATTACAATTACAATCATGATACAACAACAAAATATAAATAATAATGATAAACTATTTACAAATCAAAATGTGACTACTGTAAAAGAATTTTAAAAAACATTTAGATAAATATTTCGTAAAATTGAAATATTTGGTCACTGATAAGAACATCAACAACATTTTAAATAAAAATATAAATTTATTATGGCAATTTAATGAATTAAATAATAAAATATTTCATATCGATATAGATATAATTGTATTAGAAAATGAAATGGCTAAAGGATAATTTGCAAAAAAATTTTTTTTCAAATTTTATATGTTTAAGTATAAATTCTAAAAGCACATTTTATGAGGTTTCTAAACATATGCGTTTTATTTTCTAGCATGTTCGATGCCTGAGATATGAGTGCTT